GGGGGGCGGAGGGGTGGGGGGTGTTAATGCACTCTGAAAGGACAGTTATGCTAATTCAGCTCAACTGGATTAGTTGGAAAATAAAGTGTCTCCTTTTTTATGAGTCAGGAAACTCTGCCCTCATTGGAGAAGAGAGAAACGTGTGTGTGTGTGTGTGTGTGTGTGTGTGTGTGTACAACCTTAAAACACTGCTGCACTGTTCAACAAACGGCAGCGTGACAGTTGCTCAGTCTGCCGGGCAGAACTTTGACAGTTGATAAACTTCGAGAGGATAAACGCCGCTAATGAAAGTGTTTAAATAAAATTTTTTTTTAAAAAAAGTGTGTTTACTGTCACTCATGTTTTCCAGTCTGGTCTTTTTAGATCATTATGATCCAGAGCATAAATCCAAATGTGTTTCGCCCCTGGCTGAGCAGGTTCGGCAGCTGCGAGGCATGGCCCTCGGCCATCATGGCCGCCCGCTCTCTGCCACACAGCTGTGCCTTCTCTACCGTCGACAATGACTTTCTGGACTCCACATTTGCTATAAATAGTTGAAAAAATTGAAAACGCTGGGGAAAATATGGCTGATGAAATATTGTTTTATTTTCTACGATAATTAGAACTTATTTTAAATGTTAATGTATTTTAACGAATGGACATTCATTTAATGGGCTTTAATATCAATATACATGTCCTCATTTACACACCATCTCAATACCCAGCATGCATTTGGAGGCTTCAGCCTCAGGTCAGATGTCTGGCTTGAGTCGGACCAGCATCACAGAGCGAGGCCAGTTAGTAAATGCCAAATATCTGTCCACAGGCACAGTAATGACGGGGAAAAAAACAAAACGAAAATAAAAATGTTAAATTTAAATGTTCCAATAAAAATTCCATTATGTGGATTAGTCACAAAGAATTTTTCCATTAGAAATTCCATTATGTGGATTAGTCACAAATAAAAACATGTTTGTGAATCTACCTGATTTTTTTTTTTCTTTCTTGTCAAAAAAAAAATGAAGTAAATATATTTTTGTCCACTTTAGGAATCTTCATTTATCTTGATTAATCACGATTAATCACGATTGATTACAAACATGATTAGCTATGATTTCTCGTCTTAGTCAACTTTGCACTTTTGCCAAACGCCCAAATTAACTGCTGGATTGAACGTGACTAAATGTCATGGGGCAGTGGTTGGTGTTGTGTCTGTCTGTACCAGTTAACTCAGAGTGAGGGACAAAAGGTTGGAGATAAGGACAGCAGCCATCACGACATCATTAACGACGTCCCCCGTGAGGTGGGCACACACAAACAAACACCAAAGGTCAGAGGGTCACAGCCGCAGGACGCCGTGTGGTGTCTTACCTCCACTACTTCCGTGCAGGTCTGAGTGACAAGGTTCAGCTCGTGAGGATCTATGACAGCCACCTGGATTAGAGCGCTGGGCTTCCTGTCTCTGCCTGAGGCAACCAGATCATTACAGGCTGCAGCAAGAGGAAAGAGACGGGGAGGAAGGGAGGGAAGTCGACGGATGACAAGGGAAAAGGAGACAAAAGTAGAACAGGGAAGAGAACAAATAAGGGGATATACCACATACAGAGATACAAATGACACAAATCTAACTGGACAGGACAGTGAAAGAAGAATATAAACACCAGGGAGTGCTTTTAAAAATAAACAGTGAGGCAGCGTTAAACACATCCCGTCAGGTCAGACAAACGCTGGGAGTAAAAGCTTGAGGGCATCAACAGTAATTGTTGTTGACGAAAACTTCAGAGTTTGCTGCTGAAAAATGTAACACACATAGTAAAGTGGCAAAAATGAAACAGTTGCCTTAACGGTTACTTAGAATGACAGCCAGACAAGCTGCCACAGAGGTAGACGTTTGTTCATTTCTGACAACAACATCAGTCTGGTTTTCAGGGACAGGGATGAACATTAATATTTATTTTTGGTAAATCTGTTTTTTTTTTCTTTTTGTAAACTCCCATAACAAACTCATGGTCAATGATCCGTTCTACCTCTTCAGGTTTCTACATCTCTTTTTAAATAAACACTTCACTGAGACATTGGTTTAGACATGAATAGAAGTTGTTGTTTTTGTCTTGAAAGCCGAAACAGAATTTCCTGTGCAAACGAATTAACAAATTACGAATTATGAACAATGTATTTGTATCCATAATATAGTGTTATATACTACAAAGTTGCACCTTATATAGTGTTATATACTACAAAGTTTCACAATGTCAGTCTGATTTGGTGGTAGAAAGATTTCACCGTTTCACTGTGAATTCAACTCATTTTTAAAGCAACTTTTTTGTGGTTTTTTGTATCTAGATCTATATTTACTCCGCAGTGAAAATTCTTGAAACACAAACAGCAACTGATCTTTTAATGATAATGGCCCCTTGGTTTAACACATTACTTAAAAAAAAAACCCCACCGTGGATAATATCACTCAGCAGGTGGAATTTAATTAAAAACATCTAAGGAATAGATTGGATCTTGTGTTTTGTTCCGTTCCAGTGGGTTTAAATTTAATGTAAGTCACTAAAACAGCAGTTTAGGGGATGATGTCAGTGGACTTTAGCAAAAATCAGTTCAAGAAAAAAAAAAAAAAGACAAAAAATGAACACAGTAAAGCAGGCAGTTTCCAAAACTGCTAATTGTACCATCGCAGCTCTGTTCTACAGCAGACTATAGGGTAAAAAAAAAACCATTTAAAGAAGACAACATTTTCAACAAATTCAAAGTCAAATCAAGCAGTTAAGTTAATGCTAAGCTAACTGAGCACTGAAGGGGACATTGTGTCCACAATTTCATTTAATTTTTCTACAGCAGACTATAGGGTAAACAATGTCCTTCATAAAAAAACAACAACATTTTCAACAAATTACATTGTGTCCACAATTTCATTTAATTTTTAATAGGTGCAAGATGTAAACCAAAGACTGAGAAAATATTAGCTAAAAATTGTACAAAAATGGGAAGAACACAAGATTATATCAGATGGATATAATTTAGATAATACATTCACCTACGGCAGTGTTAAACTAGCTAGACATGTTTGAAAATGTTTCAATATTTAATTAAACAAATATTTTAATAACAGAAAAAAAAGAAGAAGAAGAAAAAAAAAGAACACTTACAGATTATACTAAGTAGAGTTAATTTTACGGGTGTGCATCCTGGTGGTGGGGCTGTTCCAACACACCTACATTGTCTAGCAGCATTTAGCGTTAGCTTACCCAGGTTAGTGGTTACCTGTTTAGTATATTAGCAATTAGTGATTAAATTATGAAAGTTATGTTTACTATTTAGGACTAGCTGCTAGCCAATACTAGACATGGCTATATGGTTTGCTAGTAGCTGCAGTTACCAGGTAATAACTAGCATAAGAGGCTAGTAAAAACCAGATGCCCTCTTGCTAACATTGGTTAGCAGTTAGCTGCTAGAAATGCCTCAGAATGGATTAAAATAAGCATTTAGACAACATTCAACGGTTGAATTTTAAACACATCATTATAATGATTAATTGATCTCAGATGCTGATTTGAAATATTCATATATACAGTATTTTTTATTGTTTTAAATAAGATGAAACCGCCAAAGAACATATTTACCATTTATCACAGTACAAAGAGTTATAACGAGACTTCAAAGAAGCAGTCTGGAATTAATTGAAGATATTTAATCATGTCAGTTAAACATAGAGCCTAAAGGAACAGGCCCTGGACGGCCAAATATGTATATTTACTACATTATTAATGTGTGACATTACTTTGATGCAAAACTATGATTGTAATAGCAGGAATTTCATTTGTACTTTCTGTGTTTTCTTGTTGAAATTGATGCAGTAGATATTCAAATGATGTTAATTTACAAATTGGTTTACTCATTAGATCTATCGTACCTCAGTGGGTACAAATTTTAAGCATTTGTTTTGGTACTATTTTAGAACAGAGAGATTTATACACAAAATAGGTTTAGGATTAACTATTCATTATTTACTACTTTGTAAAATATTAATCAAATCACTTCTTTGTGGTTTTGACGTATTATATGAATGCAGTAATAACAAAGTAAAAAAGTGATACTCGTTTGTTAATGAACCAAATTATCTCTCCTCACAGCAGGTGCGTGTGTTTACGATGCTTGTGATGTAGGAGTAAAACGGAGTCTTGTCGTCTGTTGTAGTGAAGTGCGGTCAGCTAAGGTGATGCTACAGTTTATGCATAATTAGCCAACTGTTCACACAGTTGGCTAATAAAAAACATTTGTATATGTTGGTACTGTACTGTATGCTAGCTGCTAACTCATGTACATCCAGTTTACCTGGTATTACAGTAACTGCATATTACTTTTAATTTAATTTTGAATGTTTTTAAGACTTTTTTTACTGTAAAACTCACTCATCTGATCTACTGTGGGTTGGCTACATTGTTGCCTGCACCAGCGCTGTTGAGGTTAGCGTTAGCTATGGTGACTTAAATGACTGCTCATAAAACCTTTTTTGGGAGCAGACAAACTTAGCTAGCTGGAGCGTGCGCATCACTGTCAAATATAAATGAACACATCCAAAATCGTAGCTAAATTCCAGGTCGTAAAATAGATATATTTAAATTATTGGGATAAAACACGGCAGACATGTCTCCCACACATGACACCTTGGTACTCCGCTACAGTACTACATGCTAGTAGAGGACATCAGGGATGTCTCAGGGATTGATTTCTGTTTTTTTCAGTGGGTTGTTGCAGTTTCATTAAACCATCCGGCGTCTCGTTGTCTTCACTAAACAACCAGCGCAGTCAGCCTCTCGACTTTAATGGGAGTGGGAGTAGAACCAAGCAGCGGCAGGCTTTCATACATTTCTTATAGGAATATGGCACTTTGACTCATTTGCAGTTTCAGTTTGACTCAAGTTCATAGCTATTATGGTGGTGGGAGTGGGCAGCAGGAAGAGGAAAGAGAAAGGGTGAAAGCAAAAAGGGCAACGGTGCCCCTCAGAGAGACATTTCACATTTAAGGAAGGAAGCCTGAGTGAGAGGGGAGATAATGTGAGAATGACAAAAAGGTATAAAGGGGGAAGAAAAAAAAAACTACGGCCTACTAAAGTCAGAGATGTGGATACAGAAGCTGAGCTAAATACAAATCGGAGTCTGTTTTTATGAAGCCAAGGCTGCGGCCCCAATTCCAATTTTTCTTTAATTTTGTATTTGCTGAGCTGCCTGTGCGGTCAAACTACCAATTTAAATAGAACATTGAATTCTGTCTGTATCAAAATTAGATGAAAATCAAGACTTTCATCTAAAAAAACACGAAGACCAAATTTAAAGGTTCGATTTTTTCAATGTTATATTTATGTCAGGGCTGTTTATATTCTGGTCATGTGATGAACGGGTGTGGATAAATATGAAAATCCACGCTGTTTGGCTGGTCAGTGCAGCTCTGTGAGAAGTAGCATCATCTGGACCATAAGTGATGATGTCACTGCTCTCCCTGACCTGCTGCAGGGTCATTATGTTAGAGGTGAACGATAACTGTGAGTTACTGCGTGCAGTTTACTGTGAGAGCTGCTTGTGAGTAGGAGCATGAATGACCTTGACCTGCGGTCCAAAGATGCGGCGCAAACCTCAGTTCGCCGTGTGAATTTCAACAGCTTTCACTTTTATGCATTAAACCTCAATGTGCCGTTTCACAACCCTTGTTGTTTGACACCAGTGAGAAAGTGTCAGATAGTTTGTTTTTTTTTGTTTTTTTTCCCCAGACAAGACCATTCTACGATTCTTTCCTCACATCTGCTCGTCCGTACAGAGCACAGCTATTTACTCCGTCTTTCTTCAGTAAAGATATTGAATTTGTCACTGGAGTGCTACAGTTTTTAATGAGTTTCTTCTGTGAATAATTTCCAACCCGTTGTATGTCATATTTTTGAAGTTGAAGTAATTAAGTGGCAATTCTGAACACTGCTCTGCTGCTGCTGCTGCCTTTTGAAAAGGAAGCAATAAAGACGAGGCAATTTGCTGTGAATATGCTTTGTTAATTGCAGGATGTTTAGTTCAGACCAGGACTGCGCTCGTTTTAAGACAGTTGTGGGAAATGATTTAGGGAACAGTCAAATTCTCTACAAGATTTTGAAGACATTTCTAGTTGGTTTTCACAGGTAACAGTTTCTACTTTATCTCAAAAAAAAAAAAAAAAAAAAAAAAAAAAAACAAAGCTTTTCTCCTGCTGCAAATATCTGTTGGTGGACTGATATGATCTTGGACCAGAGGCCGTGCCAGTGGATGAACTGACCAAAGGAAGTGGTGTTTAATAGAAAAAGAAAGGTCTCCAGTACTGAGGCCCTGAGGCGTCTCTGTAGAGACTTGATAGGATGGATGTTAGCTCCTGTCAAGACACTTTGAAAGTTCACACATTCCAGTAGGGTAGCATTTAAAACCAATACTGCACTCTGTCCGTATCAGAGAGAGAGTAGACAACGGGAAGCCTCGGCTTATCACGTCAAAAGGCTGCTAATGGCTCTAGTAAGAGACGGAGTGAGGCCTGAGCTGCAGCTCAAACTGCCCTCAAGGCTTCCATCAAATATGAGAGAGAGGCATTTCAGGGGGAGGCAGTCAAATCAGGGCGAGAGTTGTGTGAAATGTTCACCTGAGAGAAATGAAGAAAAATCTAACACCGGTGTATAAAAGAGAGAAGGATGTTTTAACATGTCATATCAGCCTGATCCTTTAGTTACCTAAATAATTAGGCCTTGAACCCCCCCCTCCCCACCCCTCTGCCTAGCTCCCCGCTGCCACCCCCCTCCCCCCGC